TTCAATGGTAACATCTTCCGTAAATGTACGCATGGCCTGAAGTGCATCATGGGAGATGCTGCTTTCTTCCTTCTCTACCCTGGTCATTCCTGCCCTCCTCTTCATCTCCCAAGCTTAGAGGGATCAACTATAATACTTCTCAAGCTTTAATGCCATGCATGCTGTTCGTCTGGGGCTCTTGTGGAAATGCAGGTCCCAATTCTGTAGGTCTGGTGAGGCCTGAGGGTCTGTAATTTTTACAAGCTCCCAAAAGACTTCTAATGTATCCCATCCCCTCACCCCCAACCCTTCCTTTCTAAAATAGAGGCAGCTACAAATGAGGGTGCTAATGGAGGTCAACAATCTGGAACTAGACCTAGTGTTGCTTTCCTCCCAACCACAGTGGTATACTCATTGTTCCTTATGATTCCTAACTTTCTCTTAATTTTAATTTATTCTTTCCAAGTTTTAAGTGTTTCATCATAGTGGCTTGGATTTTTTCCAATCCCATGATTATCTCTCTATTAAAGCCTTAATACAAAAAGAAATAATAAAAAAAAAAAACCAGACTGCTCATTACTTTGATTTGTAGCAAAGAGAGAATGGAACATTACTGCTAGAGTGTTTCGAGAAACCATATTTACATTTGCATCAGCTCAATTTAGGTGCCTGATTAGGTTGTGTGTTATGATGAAGATGCACTTACCAGTCAAAGGGAAGTGGCGTGGACTAGAGTAATGAGCAGGCGACTTCAAGTCAGTATCCCCGAGTGCTATTTCTGGCTGTGACTTGCTACCTGTCTGACCTTGAACAAGTCCATCTGGTTGCCTTGGACCCTAATAGCCCCCATCTGCCTCACAGGGCTGTTGTGAGAGGTTGATCACCTAAGTGTTTATTATAGTGGGGGCTATGGAGTGAAGCAAGGGAGGGGGGTTGGGTGTCCCAAATGGAACTGGAGATGGGATACCTGCACTTATAGCTCTTATCACTAGCCTGTTAAAAGACGTGTTTGAGAAGTGGCCTGATTGCTTACTTCATCTGACAGGGCTGAGGACATGCTGAGAGGTTGGTTAATGGAATTTAAAAGCTTGCCAAAAATTGGGCGAGATAGCCACGCCCAGCCTGTTATTTAGGAAGGCTTAATAAGGGTACAGATTGTCTCTCTTCTCATAATGGCACCATCTTGAGATTGTGCATTTCATCCCTGGGACCAGGGAGCTGGCAGTAAGTGGCCTCTGTAGGACATTCTAAGGAAGACCTGCTCAGTTGGCAATCCCTGACTTTAGGAGAAGGATCTTTACCTGTGGTAACTCTAAAACATGCCGGAAGCCATCTTGCTCCCTCAGGTAAGCCCACGAGACCAGTGAGACTGTGCCCAGGGAAGATGCATTCGTTTTGCAGCTGGGTTCCTCTCAAAGCAGAGAGATAGATTGAAGGGTAAAGGTCAATATGCTTTAAAATGGATAGAAAGAGAATATTTTTTTTTCCTTCTTGTATAGGTTGGTGGATGCTAAGCCAGCCAACAGACATTATCACAAAGATAGAGCCCATGGCTCTCATCTCATTACTGTTCTTGCACTGGCTAACATTTGTTGAGGACAATCTAATAATGATAGGTAGTATGAATTAAGCACTGTTCTAAGTGCTTTACATCAGTTCACTAATTTAATTTTCCCATTAATTCATTAGATGGACTCTATTATTGTCCTGATTTTGCAAATAAGGAAATTGGGGAACAAAGAAATGAAATAGTTTGCCCAACATTATACAGCTAGTAAGCCGCAATTCCAGGCTTAGAACCCAGGTCACCCGGCTGCAGAGCCTTTACTCTGAAGCACCTATGCCTACGTGAATACACACGTGAGATGGAGAGAACCATAGTCCTCGGGGGCCCAGAGTTAGAGAGGCCCAGAGCTCTTCTAGAATGGCCAGCCATCCCCTCAAAGCAAGAGCACACACTGATATCCAAACAAGAATGGGTGGGATTTGGAGCTTAATATTAGAACCTTGTAGTGTAATCTCGTGATCTGTTCATGTAGCTAGAGGAAAAGGAAGGTCTCTCTCCTGCTGTGAGAGCTTCATGTGATTCTGTACCAAATAGTCTAACCCCGTTCGCAAGTTTTATTCTTCCCCCATCACAGTTCATCTCCTTTCTTATGTGGAAAGCACACATGGATACCATTTGATTTCTGTGTACCAAAAGCTTTCTTAAAAAATCGAATGAAAGGCTAATTCTGATCGAGACCCAACATTTTACCACAGAACATTTCTGATATTCTCTATAAGCTTTTTCTCTCTCTACCCTTCTGGATAAAATGCCCTTCTGGTCACTGGGGATGACCTTTAGTGTATATTTGACCAGTTTTCTGTGACCCACTGTACTCAGAGTAAGCAAGGTCTATAATTTACCAGAGGGAGTTGCCACTAGAAACAAAAGGGGAAGGGATAAGACTGAATTGCCATAGGGATAATAGAGAGCCCTGCAACAAGTATCCACGGAGCCACCATTTTGCTTAATAACTACAGGCAAAACTCCCAGAATGCTCCTGGAGCAGTCGTGTGTGACCATTCTCTCGTTGCCCCACCAAAGAGTCACAAATCAAAATGCTGCATTCCTGTCAGAATGACTGGTTACTGTTTCCCCAAGTACAGGTTCATGTGCAATAACTGACCCCAGAGAAACAGAATGGCACAGTGTAAGAGCTTGTCACATTAAATGATCAGAAAACCATTACTGACTGATAGAATGGTTGATGGTGCAGAAGTGATTACAGACACTCCCCATGGGCCAGTTCAGGGCTGCCGCCCAGGCACTCAGTGGCTGCCAGGCTTAGAGCTGGGGCTTGACGAGGAGAAAAATCTGTTGAGGGGAGAAGGAAACTGATGGTTTATTCCCTTTAGTTCCTATAGCCCTTTGAAGTGGATAGTGGTGTTGTGATTCCCAGCCTGACATTTCAGTTCCAATATACTTTTTAAAAAATATAGTTTTGGTAATAATAGTGCTTCTGAAAGATTTGGGGCAAACTGAAAAGTCTAAGGTAAATTAAATCTTGTTTTCGTGGATTGGAGGAATTTGCTCCTTAAACACATTCAAGGGTGGTCTCTCTCTCTCTCCCTCCTTACCCACCCCCTCGGCCTCCCGAGGAATGGAAATATAATTCCTTGATAAAGAGAAGCATCACTTGAATTTACCTTGTAGAGAATTTGCAGGGGGCATATGTCTAGATTCTTATATATTTCCTGAAAGTCCAGTTAACTTCTTCCATTCATCTGCTTCTACCTGAGCAGGTGTTAAGTCAGCCACTCCCAGCCTGAGTTGGCCACACTCTGCCTCAGTGGCACTGTGTGAATTTCCACTGTAGTCTTTGGGGGATGGCAAGGACCAGAGCCACAGAAGCAGGGAGGGTGCACTGCAGTCCCTCCCGAGACCAGACAGGATCTCAGCACGGCAGAAGAGACATGGCCTGACAGGGAAGCTGGCCAGGCCACTCCTGCAGGCAGGGCTTTGTTTCTGTATACCTCTGCACCCATCAAGTACCAGCCCCCCAGATACCTGACCTCATCCCTTGGTCTGCATCTGCCTGTGGGACTCGTGGACCAGGAGAATGGCCTCTGTAAATGGCTGCGCTTGCCATTTGGGACTCTTTCAGTGCTCAAAACCTCAAAACCTGATTAGTGAGACCCCATCCTAACCTCAACAGATGGTGTGGTTCCTTCAGGAGTTAAATGAAAAAATTTTTAAAAAACTCTCAGAAATAGAAAAAAATGTCTCTAAATACATTTTAAGAACCCAGACTCTGGGGGTCTGACTACTTGGGAGTTAATCCCAGCTCCCCCATTTACTAGCTGTGTGCCCTTCAGCAAGTTTCTTAACTCCTCTGGACCTCCATGTCCTCATCTGTAAACAGGGAGAATAATTGTTTTCAACATACGGTTGTTACGAGGATTAAATGAGTTAATGTACATGAGGCACGTACAGGGCTCGATCTAGCAAGATGGCCAAAAACTTTAGTATGTTCATATGATTAGAAATGCATGTGCCAATGGTTAACGATAGCAACCTCTAGATGCTAAAAGAATAGGTGATTTTCTGGTTGTGTTTTTCTTTGTGCTTTTTCATAGCCTCTCTCGTTGTTTACATTACAAACTAATTTGTCATTGGAAAACCAGTGTCTTTGGTAAAAGAACAAAATTCAGGGACGCTCTCAGGGCTGTCTGAAGATGAGGGCAAGGTGAGGTCGCAAAGGATGTGATGACAAGAGGACAAGTGGACAGAGGGGTGAAGGGGAAGTTTGAATTTGGGGACATGCTCATGGGAGCCCTGAGGTGAGGGTTTCGAGGCACCTTCTGCTTTGGAAGTGCTGGTCCGGCAGTGAGGAGTATGTCCCTGTATTGTCCCTCTCAGGTGGACCGGAGGGTCTCGTGCTTGACTTCCTGCTAGCTCTGAGGCTCCTGAGGTCGGGCTTAAGGGGCTAGGAAGGCGCAGCCCGTTTCCAAGGGCAAGGCCAGCTGAGGTTGCGGTGACGACAAGGGTGAGGGCAGGCGAGTTGCTGACCCCCGCAGGGCTCCCCAGTCCTCAGAAGGAGGGGCTGGAGCTATCTTGCCTTCATTTGCATGTCTAGGTAATTACAACTCATAAACGTATCTAACCCATTAGTTAAAACCCGGCCCCAGCATTTGCCTCTAACCTCCTGCCGCAGCACCGGCCCCACGCTGACTCCGTGCCTCCTGATTTGTCCTCAATTTATAAGCAGCACAGCCTATAAATAGAAACCCTTTTGCTAAGTTCCCCCAGGAGGCATCAGCAGGTTTTCCAGCTTGGATGTGTTTTCTTCTTTCTTTTTTTAAACACCATCATGGCAGGCTTATTTTCCCTGCCGGCCTCTCCTCCAGCTCTCACCCCCCGTTCAGTCGGCCGCGTGCCAGCTGGCTGAGCGGCACACCGGCGGGCCTGCCCAGGTTGGGTTCTGGGGGAGACCCCGGTCTCAGTCGGGAGGGGGGGAGTCCCCGTCCCCACTCACCTGTAGATCCTGTACCTGGTGGTGAAACCCTGGCGGTACCGCTCCACGAAGTCCGCGTACTCCTGCGCGCGGTGGAAGGGGCCCCGGTCGGTGAGCAGCCAGTCCAGGGGCGTCTGGCCGGCCGAGGAGGCATGCTGCTCTGGGACCACAGCGACAGCCGTGGCCGAGACAGCCAGCACCCAACCGGGGAGGCCCAGTGCCAGCAGGGTTGCCCATGGGGCTGCTGCCGGCCGCAGCCCTCTAAACCGAGTGCCACACTGCCACCTCATGCTTCTCCCGGCCGGTTGGTTTCTTCATTCTCTCACCACACTCTCCCGCTCTGTGCCGCTCCTTCAGGGCCCCTGGACCTAGAAAAGTACACACGGACGTGTCAGTCGAACACCCTGATCTTACCCCATGGGCCTGTGAGCATCAAACAGCACTGGGCTGGGCCCGTTCTAGCCATCCTTCCTCCTAGCAACGCATCTCCATTTAGGCGTGGAGCTAAGTGTGGACGTGTATTTCATTTCGTGTTACAGTAATCCTCTAGGAAACACCACTCTCATCATTTTGCAGATGAGACGATGGGGTTTAGAGAGATTTAGAAGAAAGTTTGCTTAAGCTCCAGTAGCTTCTATGGGAAGAAAGCAGAATTTTGAACTCAGGTGGTCTGATTCTTAGCCTTTATTAGTCTGTTGCTTCCGTGTTTCCAACGTTGATTCCACATCATTCGCTTCTGCCTTCCTCTCAGAAATGTTTGCAATGTTTCAATAATAGCCTCAGAGACTGTGTGCTGCCCCTAGAAACCTGATGTTACGGGGAAGAGCAAGTCATAAGGCAGAGAGAAGCAGTGACATTCCATCACGGCTATGAAGCTGCGGGAACTTGTGCAAATCACCTTCCTTCTCTGGGTTTAGGTTTCTCTTAGTGAAAATACAGAGGCTTTGAACATCTGATCCTTATTTTGCAGCAGGCCCTGCAGGGATGGAGTCAGAACAAGAAACCCAATTGCCCTAACACCATCATCAGGGAGCAGACACGCGCATACAAGGATACCTGTTACGGTGTCCCTCTCCCCGCCTTGGAACCTGAAAGCTCCCCGAGGGCGGGGCTGTTTCCTTCTATCCTAGCTCCTGAGGGTACACAGCAGGCCTTCAGAGACCCTGCTCGAAGGAATGAATGCGTGCATGCCCTGTCTTCTCTTAGTAGAAGGGAAGGTGCCAGGAAAGGTGACCTTGATTTTCAGAAACCTTGGCTTCCTTGTGACTTATCACAGGCCTTTGATTTCCAGTGTCTGCACTTGGTCTGAGGATAACCAGTCACCTTTATCAACCTCTGGGCAGATGCAGGGGGGGCTGGTTCACTACTGTGGGGGTTCTTACAGTTGCATTCATTTCTTCAGTCTTTAATTTCCAGCACATGCTGTGCGAGTCTCGCCCATCTCACCTCACCAGCACCACTTCAGCATGCTAGAATGACCTCCAGCCCATGGCACCTGTAATTGTAGGCTTTGAAGACTTCCTTTGGCTTTCAAACCCCAGAGATAGGCTCTCTGGGGATGAAGCAAGGGGAGATAACTCCCTGGCACTTCCAGAGTCCTGTAAGGGCAGGCAAAGTGGGCCTTGGCATTTGGTCCATGCCCCCTTCCAGAGTCCCCCAGCACACTCTGGGATGGCCCCAGTTTAACAAAACCACCAGATGTGCCTTGGACCAATGCAAACCCTGAAGTGGCTGCCCACAGGCTGGGGCCAAGTATATAAACCCTGAATACTCCCAGCCTAAAGTCTGGCCTGAGCCTGAGAGGTCCCGAGCCTCAGCATTTGTACAGGACACTCTCAAAAGGGTTGCAGTCCCTGCTTATAAGGATGGAGGCATACAAGCATGAGTGCATGGACTTTCAGAGTCACTCTTCCACTCCAGCCAGGAGGTGTTGACCACCTACTATGCTGGGTGATTCTTACAAGCTGCTCCAGTTAACTCTCACAGTTAGTTTGTTATTATATAGGCATTATTAGTATAGGTTTACATGTCATTGGTGCTCAGAGGAGCTGAGCTAGGAAGATGCAGAGACAGAAGGTGACCCTAGATCTGGCTCTATGTCCAGACCTTGCCAAAAAAGCTGTGCTGCCCAAGAGCTAGAGTGGGCAGCAAGACAGACCCTCACTCAATGGACTGGTTGAGAGGGGCTGAAAGAAAAATAATGAGGCAACACCGCCCTACTGGATCTTAAAAGATATAATATTCTAATAATTAAAATATGAAATACTGGCACACAAATTAAATGGGCAGATCAATGATGTCGAACAGATAGCTCCAAAACAGAGCCTGTTATACATAAGAACTTATATATTTTAAAAAGCATTACAGACTAATTGGTTAGGGGATGGACTATTTTATACATCATGTTAGGAAATTAGTTCTAGATGGATTTAAAAAGTTAGATATAAAAAGTAAAACTGTAGAAGGAAGAAAAATCTCCAAGTGTTCTATATAATAAGCCTGCGTCACTTTTAAATCAGAGGGAAAAGCGATATAAACTAAAAGGAGAAATCAGCCTTGCACATGGGGATAGGCTTTTTTTTTTTTAATGGGATATAATCTGATGAGGATGCCCAAAATATTTCTCATTTAATCATTCACACATTCATCTATCGAGAAACATAAATTGAGAATTAAGTGCCAGACGCCATGCTAAGCATTGATAACATGGAAGCAAATGCTCGGGACATTATCAGAAACTCCACCGTTCGTGATTAATTCCTTCCTAAAATATTGTTTCTGTTTTTAAAGGCGTTGTTTATGGAGGGGAGGGAGGCATGTTTATTTTAGAGACTGGGGCTGTTTGACACAGCAGGCCGTGGCTGCAAACCCAGCTAGGAGAATGTGCACGGACATGGTGAGGACACGCTCAAAGGCAGGATTCTAAAGTGGCCCCGGGTTTCCCTTGCCTTCCTCTGTGTGCCCTGTACAATCCCCTCATCTTAAGTGTGGACAGGACTTCACGCTATGATAGGACACCACTCCCATGGTCACCTCGCTAGTCAGTTGACTTGGAGTTCATATTGGGTCGTTGGGAAAGTCATGACTCATTTTTGCGTTGAAAAACACAGAAAAATACGACATGACTTTCCCGACGACCCAATACAACGGGGATGTATCCTGGGTGGGCCTGACCTACTCCAGTGAACCTTTACAAGTGGTTGATGCGTCAGAGACAAGCTCCTGCTGGCCTGGGAGGAAGCACACCGCCATTTCTCTGAACAGCCGATGGGAGCCAGCCGCAAGGGGTTGGGCGGCCTCTAGGAGTGGGGAGTAATTCCCAGTCAATAGCAATAAGGATATGGGAATTTCAGTCATAGAGCCCAAGGAAATGAATTCACCAATAACCACAGGAACCTGGATGGGAACCCTGAGCCCCAGCTGAGAAGTGACCCCTTGGCTGATACCTTGATGTCAGTCTGGTGAGACCCTGAGCAGGGGACCCCGGAAACCCACACCTGGAACTGCCCCGCAAAAGCTGCAGGATAGTACAGTTGTTGTTTATTGTTTCGTGCCACTAAGTTTGCGGTAATTTGTTACACAGAGACCTGAAAGATAAGGGTACCCCTCCCCCATCCTGTGCAAGGCCTTGCCTGGTGAGGGTTCTCCGTGCAGCGGGAAGCCTACCTGCTACCCTCTGCGGGGGAAAAAGCCAGCATGGCAGTTTCTCGAGCAGAAGTGATGCTGATCGCCTCCCCTAAATGTGACCATTTCCATACCCCCCACCTGGACTTCGGAGCTCTCTGGGTCAGAGGCCAAGGCTTTGTTTTATAATTCTAACACTCTCACGCCACTGGTCCTCAAAACTACGTGATGCATCCATTGCATGCATTTCATCGAGGGATCCTTGTGAGCCAGGCACCCGTGTGGCCTTGGTCCAGCCACTGTACCTCTTGGTGCCCTGTGCTGTAATACAGGGGTGGTGGCCGCCACCTCACCTATGAAACAAGGGTTTTCTAACGGCAGGCGAGAGCGTATGTGAAATGCTGTGTGCTCTTGGAGAGAAGCGACCGCTGTTAAGTCAATGTAGCTGCTTGTCATGCTTTGTTTGTAATTATACTTTTTCAGAGCTCTCATTGTGCTGGAACCTGCCTGGTTTTAGGAGTATCAGCTTTAGAATCAAATGGTTTTGATTGTCGGGCCCAGTCTGCTGAGCACAGCGAGAGCGCCCGGATTCCGGGCTGACTGCGCCTCTGAAAAACTTGGCCTTGGGTCACATGGTTTCCGCTTCATTGGCTCTCCTCAGGATCGCAAGTTGTTTTAACTAAAAAAATCTCTTTTTAAGAAAGAGGAGTTTTAAACAAGTTTCAAAATTTTCTTTTTTAAAGAAAGCCCTAGGATATGTTCCATTAACTTAAAAAAAAAAAAGACAAAATAATTGCTGCATTGACAGTTGTATAAACATTAGGCTCCTTAAGGGGGACAGTTTTTGGCCATTTCCTGTTTATGCTCCACAAATCACATCACCAGAAATTTTATAACAGCGACTTGTCAAGCAAATTTTAACTGGTGGAAGTCTCATGGCGTCTGGTGGTATCGCTAATTAATATTCAACAGGTTATATTTAGCACCTTCCTCGTGACACTCCTAGGTGTCCTTTTTGTCCCAAAGCTGACTGTGTAACTAAACCTCCATGTCACCTGTGAGTAGAGTAAAGTAATAGTGAAGCCTAGCTCTTTGATGAAAAAGTTATAACTTGCAAAAGCCAAATAATTGCATTTACTTAACCATACTTAAGGCAGCGTTTTACACCTACCGAAATAATAAATTAGCTTTGGACCCAAGGTACAAGTAAAAGAAGCCATGGGTTTTACTTTGTGAGTACATTAGCTCAAATCTGTTCACGAAACTACGAATTCAATGGGTTACAGAGAGAAAACGTCCTATATAGATGAAGTCACATGAGAAGTAGCCAGCACAGTCTTCAAAATAGGGGCGCTTATAAGAAATCTGTCTTCACCACCCTGAGATTATCACCCCACTGAGGAGTTCTGGGCACTCTTTTGTGTCTTCCTGTTGGTCTCAATCTCCACTGATACTAGGATGTGTCAGTAGATAGAGCCGCTAGGGTTTGGGGCATCAGCTGCTCGTCTACTAAATCGTGACAAGTCAGACAGAAGTAGAGTTTCCTCTTGAAAACTGTGGCAATGCAGGGGTTGTATGTTGGAGGAGTTAAGAATATGGCTAAGCTATTGTTAGAGGCCAGAAGAAAAGGATAAATAGGTGTGAAAGTATTATTATAATTAACAAAATTGTTAATGATGTTAACAATTATCATAAATCATTTAGTATTTGTCTGGAAGTGCCTGCTTATGAAGCATGGATAATAAACTCAATCTTTATCTCCCAGATCTTATGTTCCCCTTTTAATGGATGGGAATACTGAAGCTAGGAATGGATACGTGAATGGCACAAGGTCATGTATTTCAGTGGTCTACCCACTCTAGATCCTATACTATTTACACCTCACTGCACCACTGACTTGATTTATAGCTATGAAAACGTGAGGGCTTTGCCACTTACGAGCCGGTGCCTTGGGAGCCAGTCACTTCCCTCTGGGAGCCTCCCCTTGGTCGTCAGGAAAATGCATTAAGAGGTAAGATGAGCTCTGTGATCCTGCCAATGGCCAAATTCCATAATCCTATGTGAACACAAGGGCCACAAATGTAACGGAAGAGGCATCGAGATTTCAGTCTCTTGGGAGAGGAAGCTGTGAGTTTCAGAAAGGGAGTGAAGCATAAGAGAAGTGAAGTATAAAGCAGAAATTCCTGCCTATTGGAGCAGTGACATTTAATAAAATGATTAGGCAGTGACATTAAATAAGTTTTCAAGCCATTTGAGTGGTTAATTGGCCAACTCTATTGAGGAGATGTTTTCCTGAATAAATCTGAGGGCGTCCATGGTAAAAACTCACAGAAAGTGTTATTTGTTCTAGTCCTCATAACAATTTGATGCAAAACCTCCTATTTTGACTAGAAAGGGAGGGTGGACAGGAGAAATGACAGGATATTCCGGGGTGAAGTTTCCAACAGGGCAAGGGTACAAGATCAACGAGTGCCATTCTCCCATCGTGTTGGGGTGACCTGCAGCCTCAACAGAGGGGCCAACCCGACAGTGAGCCCCAGGCTGGACTTGAGAGAGCTTCCGCATGGCCCCTGATTCCCCCATGTGACCCCAGGCAGTGTGACACCCCAACTGCCACTCTCCCCTCCGGGCTCTGTGATACGACCTTCGGCTCCACCCCCAGAACTGGCGTGGACTGGCAAGCTAGTGGCTGCTTTTCCCCACTGCTAGTCAGGAAACGACTTAGAATAGGTGAGGCACATGGATACTGTCCTTGCATTAAGTTAACAATACTAATGATAATTTGCGCACAGGTGAGCACTAATCATAATTCCTATTTACTGAATGTCCTTACATTCATCTGAGGCCTTTAAGAGGAGAGGCTGGGAGAGGTGAAGGGGCTGGCTGGAGGCAGCTCCACAAGGAAACAGAAATGAAACTCGAATATTCTGACTCCAAGATCCATCATGCAGTTCTCTTCAGCCTCACTCACCTCTGCCTGTTAGCCAGTCAGGTATTAAGCCATTTCTATGCATTGAGGGCTGTACTGCTTGATGGCAGAAAATCTGATGAATGAAACAAACCTGGCATTTGCCCATATCGGGCTGGAACACAACATAGGACTTGAGGATCCTGGAATGAGCTTAAAAGAATGGTATATATGTGTGTTTCTCCCTCTCCCTCTCCCTCTCCCTCTCCCCCTCCCCCTCTCCTTCCTTCCCTCCCTCCCTCTTCTCTTATGAGACCTTGTAGGCTCCATCCCCTCAGGGCGCCATATTTATAGGTTCCTGCTATGTGATAACCAGCCCTTCACTCATCAAGGACAGACTCATCTGTCAGTTGCAGAGTCCTCATACTTGCCAGCCGGGCGTCCTTGGCACTTTTCTTGGCGAGACAAACTAACTGACAGGCTTGCCCAGAGCCTTGCGTGATCAAGTCCAGGTCACAGTGTGCAGACCAGGGAGGCCCCGCTGCCCCAGAGCTTCCCTTGAGGTCACACGGGTCTCCAGCAAAGAGAAAGAGGGCACTGCCAATCAAGTGGAACCTCTAAATGGAAAGTTGCACATTTCAGAGTCTTTAAAACCCGATCTCCATACAGATGAACTATTCTCCAAAACATTTCCGTAACACTCCTTCCTTAAGGAAGCCCGGCAGCTCCTCATGGCCTGATAACCGATCTGCCTTCCTCTGAGGCACTGAGACCCCCACCAGCTGCTCCCTGGGCAGCGGTCACCCGCACAGACCACCGAGCCAGAATGCCTGGCTTCTCACGTTGGCGTCACCTCTCTTGCCTCAGCTTCCCGTCTGTTAAAAATAGGGCTCATCATACTAGTGCCTCCTCGTAGGGCTGTGAAGATTGACTTAATGTTGGTAAAGGCCCTAAGAAGCACCTGACCCGTGCTGAGTGCTGTGTGTGTGTCGGCTATGCTTTCTTCCAATGCTTCAACATACGCTATTAGAGCCACAAAGAATCCCAAAGGAGTCCCTCGGCACCACCTCATCCAGTATGGGGTTTGTTTTGTTGTCATTGTTGTTTACAGGTGAGAAAGCTGTAGCCTGAGAAGGTCCAGTTCTCTGATGAAAAATGTGTCCTCGTTAGCCTTTGGGGGGGTCCCTATAGGTCACTCGGAGTGGCCTCACTGGTCCTCGTCCCATGTTCCTCCATAGCTAATGACTGCAGAGGTGGGCAGGCCAGGGCCCTTGTGCCTTTAGCCTGTGACCCCCGACACTTGACCCCAGATTGTCTGGCGATGGGCCTCACCTTTGTACTCACTTCCATCTGTTTCCTCCCTGTGAGTCTATATACGTCTCTCATGTCTTTCTGGCTCATTTTCTCCAAGAAACCTTCCAAAGCGAGGCTCTGTGTTGATTACTTGATTACTTTGTGCTCCTACAGCCTCTGGTCTGTGATTAATTTGTACTTGTCATGTCATGGAACTGGGGGGAAGGGCTGACGTCCCAGAGATTGCCTGGCCCAGCAGAGGTCAGCAGCCTGGAGTGTGTGTATGGAGGGGAGGCGTATGGCGACAAGGAGAGCAGTAACTGATATCTCGGGTTGGGATATATTTTTGTATTTTGGAATATTTTGAAAACCCCTTAAGGAGATTTTGCTACGACTCTCCGGTAATGGAATCCCCTTCACGCTGTACGATAGATGAGAAAACGAAGGGCCACCGAAGCGCAGTGAGTTATTCAAGGTCACGCCACTGATTTGGGGCCAAACCAGGACTTGAACCTGCGTCTCTCAATACTTCGTCCAGAGTTCATTCTGCCTCTATTTATTTCATGCATGTCAGTGGTAAATTGAAATGTCCATAAGCCAGATCCCGTGAATTCCAGAGTTACCATCATCGTCATTGCCAATCAGGTTTAGGTATCAGTTACTATCTGCCAGACACTGGTCCAAAAACGTTCCATTCACTGACACATTTAATTCTTGTAAAACCCCATGAAATTGAGTTATTCCCATTTCACAGAGGAGAAAACGCAAGAACAGAGAAGCCAATAATGTTCTCCCAAGAAAGTCCTTTGTACTCTAAATGACCTATAAACCTAAGATCCAGGGGCTTTTCTCTCATAAGGGTGCTGTCGTCACAGGAGGTTATCCTAGATTCCTCTAAGTCACTCTCATTAAAAAATTACCACGGATTGATGAAAAGTCTAGAATCTTAGAGTGTAAAGGTAGGACTTGCCTAAAATCATTTTCCTGGCTTGGATAAGGACGTGTAAGCCTCTACTTTGGAGGAAGCTGTGTGGCTCCTGTTTAGATGGCCTGTCAGCACAGCCTGATGGGAAGGCAGTTATATTTTACTGTACTGTCTTAAAATGATAAGTCTAGAATATTCCTCCAATCTGGGTGCTGGTGGACAACTTACAATTGCTGGTTCCTTGTGTGCCCCTGTGTTACAGTGCTCTTCCGTCAGACCTCAAACCCAGCACAGCCTGTGCCCAAGTTCCCCATCCCCCACTTTCTGCCCAGTCTCAGAGTGTCTCCTAAGGGATAAGCCGCTTGCACCCTTGCAGGCTCCTGCTCTCAGCTCCCCCACTTCCTGTCGTAGGGAGACAGACCTGTCAGACTTGCTTGCCCCTTTACGTGATTCTGAATCTCACCACCACCTCTTTCTTTATATATTCTGGACAACAGGTTGGTCCTCCTGTTACCAAGATAGCCTGAATCACGCAGTTGGCCCAGCCTCTGGGTGTGCCCTGCCACTCTCCCTGAACCCACCTCCTGAAGCTGGCGTAGTGATCCACTCATGCCCCCAGTGGGCAGCTGGAGAGGAAACTTCCTCTTTCCCAGCCTCCTGCCCACCAGTCTGGCTTCCACTGCTTAAGCCCCAGCTCAGGCCGCAGCAGAGCGAGCCTCTGTATACACAGAGGATAGTTTAAGTGTTTCTCTCAGGCCTGCAAAGCCAATAAACCTAAACCAATCACACAGACATTGCTCACCCTGTGCCGGCTGCAGACCTGAGGCGGGGGTTCTCCATTCTGGCCCGTGGTCTGCAATGTTACTCTTGCTCTTGGCTTTCTGCCAAGCCTGTCATCGAACCTGAACTGTTAGCCCAAGCTCTGCCCGATTCGGGCCTTGGCATGGACCAGAATGTGAAATGATAATGCCCTGAGCTGTGCCAAACAGCATGGAGCTCCTGAGAGGTTACAAATGCAGCTGTGACCAGCAAACACATTGTTTCCGGGATTGTGTTTGTAAATATATAAGTTGCCCGACAGCTTGTGGAATTAAATATAGATGCTACATCACAAACTCTAGCTAAAATAAACTATATGCTGCTCAATGAATGTCAATCAGTACACGAGAAAGAACCATTACCCCTCTTTGTAACATAGTCCAAAGAATCCACCCCTAAGTGCTTTCCTTTGTTTGTGTTTTAGGTTATTGGGCTTTTGGTTTGTTTTGCTTTGAAGAAAGTGACTTTTCCCCCCATAGACTGTCCTCCTCCCCCCATAGGTTTTTGACTGGTACTGGTGGGCAGCGGGAGGGGGGGAGCAGACAAGGTGGGTATAATTGGTAAGGCTGCTGCATTGGGTTTGGTGTGTATAGGGTGGTGGCCAGCCAGCTTGGAGGTTACCAGGTAGATAAGGAAACCCCAGTCAGCCCTTTGGGACTGCTGGCCTTGGGGCACGTTTCTAAAGATGTGGTCCGAGGCCCACTGGTGGTTGTTTGGAAAGACCTTATGATGGAGAGCAAGCATGTCCATCACTGTGTGTCCTTTCTCCATTTCTTGAACCAAATGACTCTCCTTCCCTTACGTTGATTTCTACAGGTGCTTGTATGTTAGCCACCTCTTACATTCATAATGGCAGGTTACCTGAAGTTGGTTTTCCTACACTACAGTCAGCACACTGGAGAAGTTTACTGAGCGCGCTTGTTCAGTCTTCAGCTGAGACGGTGTTGCCTCATCATTCTGGGCATCAGTGCAAAGCCCCCACTGCCCTGCCCAGATTGCCATAACCCTTGCAAAATGAAGGGTGCTGTGACCTCACGGCAACCTCGGTGTTGTCTTAAGGAGTTAAGGTTTTCCTGTGTTTGATCATTTGGGATTTATGCAGTCGCTATGT